TAACCCATTGGTAAATTATCTCCCAATCTCTCGTTCTCTAGATAAAAACTCATTTTCTCTCTTTAAAAATCCAATATCTTTTTCTCTCTCTAAAAACCCAATCACTATGTCTCTCTCTAAAACCCAATTTCTCTTTCTCTCTCTTAATACCTTTTCTCTCTATAAAAACCCAATCTCTTTCTAAAAACCCATTTTTTTTCTCTAGAAACTCAATCTTTCCTTTCTCTTTCTAAAAACCCATTCTCTCTCTATAAACCTAATGTCTTTCGCTCTCTAGAAACCCAATCTATTGTTCTCTCTCTAAAACCCATTCTCTCTCTAAAAACTTAATTTCTCTTTTTTTCTCTAAAAACCTATTCTCTCTCTCTAGAAACTTAATCTCTCTTACTCTTTCTAAAAACTCGTTCTCTCTATCTAAAAACCCAATCTCTATCTCGTTAAAAACATATTCTCTTTACAAACTCAATCTCTCTCTTTTTAAAAACTCATTCTCTCTAGAAACCCAATCTCCATTTCTCTATCTAAAACCTATTTTCTCTCTCTAAAAATCCAATATCTCTTTCTCTATCTAAAAATCCAATTTTTCTTTCTTTGTGCTCTCCAAAAACTTATTTTCTCTAAAGAAACTCAATCTTTCTTTCTCTCTCTAAAAACCCATTTCTCTCTCTAGAAACCCAATCTCTCCTTTTCTATCTAAAAATCCATCCACTCTTTCTAAAAACTCAATCTTTCTCTTTTTTAAAATCCAATCTCTTTTTCTCTCTCTAAAAAGCATTCTTTCTTTTTAAAAGACCGTTCTTTATCTCTCTAAAAACCTAATTTATCTTTCTCTCTCTAAAAACCTAATCTCTCTTTCTCTCTTTAAAAACTCATTCTCTTTCTAGAAACCAATATCTCTTTCTCTTTCAAAACACTCATTCCCTCTAGAAACGAGCCCTGAATAGAGAGATAGAGATGACGGATGGAAGAGAGAGATGGTGGATAAAAGAGAAATATTTTTTCTTCTTCTTTTTTTTTTTTTGTGGTTCCAACCCCTTGCTGTGAATTTAAATAAAATATTTTTTATGGTCTGTGCGAGTAATGGATCCCTGGGAATTTACTCCCCACTTTGTGGGGTAGGAATTTCTTTTCACACCATTTTCTCCTTGTGGTGGCAAAATCGTTTTCTATGGGACAAATATTCTTCCGCTTTACCCATGAACCAAACGTGTATGAAAATTATTTGATGATACAAGTTTTCATACGAACCAAACGAACCCCTAAGAAATGATTTTGCGCACTCATATATAAAAAAAAAGGTTCGCATTGGAAAGGAAAAAAAATGGATAGCCGTTGTTGGTTTGAACCTATAAATTTTAATCTTTTTACGAGTTTGATTTACATAAAATTGATGGAGGTGTGTAGGAAATAATTTACAGAAGCTGCCAATATTAAACAATCAAAGTAAAGTATATTTCCCATATTTACATGAAGATGTAATTTCGTTGTTGGAACCCCGTAAAATGGTCTGAAAATCTATTATGTGCCTTATTATAAAAATATAAAGTTTTAAAAATTATGCAGATTAAACAAATCTAAAAACATTTAAAAATCTTAAAAAACCCAGATAATATGTTTCAAGATGCACTATTTTGATAACTTAAAAGGTGCGGTTTCTATAAGGTTGCAACCTTAAACAATCCAATTAAGGCACACTTTAAAAAATTTTCATAACATGTAATTTTGTTGTAAAAATTCTTAGTTGTATCTTAAAATCTATTTTCATACCTAATTAAAAAATTATAAATTCCCAAAATAGTTAAAATCAAGTAGATATATAAATAGATGAAATTCTTGAAAAATAACAGTCTAGATAATGTGTCGCAAGATGCACTATTTTCGGGAGTCAAAAACGTTTTTTTTCATATTCATACATCTCGATGTCGAGATGCTCGATTAGAGGGTTTTTTCAACATTAAAACAACATTTCCGATAGATTTTTGAGGTGCATCTGTGATTCTACATTTTAAGGTCGCAACCTTATATAAACTTTTTCCTAACTTAAAATTCTTGTTTTTGTCATTTCTTTTGCATATTCAAACATCTGGAGGTGGGGATAATCAATTGGAGGGTCTTCAAGGGTTAAAAACCAATCAGATAAGCTTTTATGCTATATATATAAGAAAATACTTAAAAATACTGATGAGTGAAGTTGTACAGTACTTCACTTTTAGCTCATCATCATCTAAAGTCTATCAAATAATCATAATTATCTGATAATATTTGAATTTTAATAATTTTCACAAATTTGATTAACCTTAAATTTTGTGAACATATAGGATTTAGTGAGGTACATTTAAATAAAATATAGAGAAATAGTTCAATAATAAAATGACTGAATTACCCCTTTAAATATTTCAGGGGTATTTTTGTTATTTAAATTTTTGAAAATTAGCTTTTAATATTTTATTTAGGGGGCAAGTTGGTTAGATGTGTGTACAACCCAAAGTTTAGATGAATCTGATCTATAAAAAAATTGTTAGAATTCAAACAAGATTAGACAATCGTGGCCATCTAATAGATTTTAAATGGTGATGCGCCATGAGTAAAGTATTATAGATATTCACTCTTGAGTGTTTGTAAGTGTTATATATTATATATATATATATATATATATATCAAGAGACAACTGCTTTGGGTGGCCCCCTATCGATCCGAAGCCCAGATCAAGAAGGAGGTTTGTGTTACGTAGAAAACCAGCGTTAAACTTTGCTGCAACTTTCTACGTGATATGCTCATGCTAGGGTATTGGCCCTTGATAGAGAAGGATGGAAGAAAAGGATTCGTGTAACCGACACCAGATAGTTGGAATGAGGCACTAATGATGATAATAATTCTATAAATCATTTTATAATGAAATTTGGGGCATACATACATCTAACAGGGACACACATAATAAAAATAAAAAACACTTTTGACAATATAATATTACTAAAATGCTCTTGAAACTTATAGGGGCTTTTTGGTCGTTTATTTTCGTAGGAATTTTTTTATTTTCCTCTAGGTGCGCCCTAACAAGAAGAGGGAACCCCCCAAATTTCAATCAAAAATATTTTGTAGAAAAATTTAAAACTAAAACAATATTTGACATGATATAGTGACATGAGCAATTCCAATCGTCCATTTAGATCGAATGGCTGAGAAGTGTGATCACATTTACTTTATATGTAGGTGGACAGACAAAGATTTTCCTTTTGTAATTGCTTGATCATTAGTCCCTTTTGTAATAGTGTGCTCATTGAGTAAGGACATATGCATAACTATTCCTAACATATAATCAATATTTTATCCTTATAAGGGTAAAATTAAAGTTTTTATTGAAGGGCAAAGGTATTATCCTCATAAAATTTTAGAATACTAACTTCTAAAATATCATTTTATTTTTGTAAAAATTTTGCAAAAATATGATTACTTAATGATTTAGATACTTATAAAAAATCAATGAAAATTTTTTATGCCCCCGTGGGAATATAGTATGTATTTTGCTTCCTCACGGTAAAACTCATGTTAGGAATATTTTCTCGAGCCCAAGTTTTCGGGGAGTAGTCTTTAGAATCTAATCACCAGCCTTAAAAGGGGGGCCAAAAAAAAACAGAGGACACTCTAATTTAAATAAGATATTATGTATGCCTCAAAACATTTAACATATCAAGATTGAATAACAACCGTCCAATCTTTGGGAGGCATATCTGGGTGTTCAAGAGTATAAATCCAATTCGTGGACGGAAAAAAATGATATAAGGTTGACACCTTAAAAAGTAGAATTGATGTGCACCTCTAAAATCCTTCAAAAAAAGTTGATTTCATGATGGAAAAAATTGATCATCTCAACATCCATATGTATAAATATAGATAAAAAAAAAGAGGGATTTTAAATCTTAAAAATAATACATCTTGCAATACATTATTTGGACTATCTCATTTCTAAATTTTCATATGCTTATATAGATTTGTTTGATTTGAACCATTTGAGATTTTAAAATTTTATATATAAAAATAAATTCTCGCACTATCCTGAAAATTTCTGACACTAAAATTGCATCTCATGACATGGGTTGGAGGTGCACCTTGACATGGGTTGGAGGTGCACCTTATTTTGATTGTTTGATGTTGCAACCTTATGCAAATCACACCCTTCTTGAAAATATTCATACAAAGATACTAAGATGTATATCAAATTTTCAAATTAAAAAAACCCTTCCTGGTTGCTCTTTTGCTCAAAGGAGTTGTTGTATAATATGTACATGCTATACGTGCTCAAAAAAGAAAATTTTCAATAAAAAGCGATGACATATAAATACATCAATTACAACTCATTCTAACAATGATGTAATTTCTATAAAGCCTAGACTATATGAAAACAAAATAAAGTCTCACCTAGAATTCTCATCCGAAAAGTACTTTGGGCATCGCAAATTTTAACATAGCTTCAAAAATTAATTTTTAACACGGACTATAAAATTTGAAGCTCACAAAATATATGCAAATTTTTTAACACTTAATTTTAAGGGTAAAGTGGATGGTCTAGATAATGTGTTATAGCATGACCTATTGTTCGAGCATGAAATCCTAATTTTTTTTACAATAATAATGTTCAAGATTGAGATGATCAATTTAAAGATTTTCTAATACCCAAACTATAATTTTTCAGTAAGGCTTTACGTATTTTGATAGGACGGCAGCCCTACAATTACACCGAAACAAGGATGAAAAATGCTCAGTGATCAAGCAATAAATACCCCATGATAGCCAGATCCCTGCAATGGTCGCCATACATGAAAAGACCGCAAATCCGAAGAGCACACCATACCGCATCAAGTGTATTGGACGCCATTGGCATCCACCGTTGGTCCTCTAAAAACAAAGGTCCGGATATGCTATAATTTTCATCTGAATCTACAACCGATACATCCAACAAGATTAGGGTGCACCTGATCATTCTTCAAAGGAATAGAGCGAGAGAGAGAATTTGATTTTATTCACAGAGCAAATGTTCATTCCTCAAAGGAAGAGAGAGAGAGGATTTGATTTTATTCACAAAGCAAATCAAATAACAACAGAAACACCAGTTTGATAATCTCATGACCAAGAAGAACACCCTATGAATGCAGCAGCCAAGACCAAAAGAAAGAAGGAAGAAAGGAAACTGAAAGGGTGTGCTGAAACACCAGAAGAGGAGGAGTAGAAGAAGTAGTAAGGGTAGGGATACCCACTTCCCCCACGCGAAGGCGGAGGTGGTTGCTGAACTGAAGGGACGTTCACGTAATTCGAAGGCGGAGGAGGAGGGGGCACAGAAGATGAGGAGTAGTATGAGGGAGGTGGAGGAGGTGGGAAAGACGAGGAGGAGATGATGGGTGGAGGGCTCTTGTGTGGGGTGGGGGTGGCTCCATACTGCTGAGAAGGGGGGGGTGGCGGTGCGCAGATGACTGGACAGCTTGCGCAGTCGCTGATGCAGAGGAGGCCTGTCGCCGGCAATTCTTGTGCCGAGCTCCCCATCAATAGTATCATCACCGCCATCCACCACCACCTCCCCCTCCCCAAAACCCACTTCAACTCCATCTCTGTGGCCATTGTTTTCCTTTACTTTCTTCTCTCAATGTGCATAGAGAGAGAGAGAGAGGCGCAATGATGGGGAGGAAGAGAGAGAAACAGTTCCCTGAAGCCCTGCATCCGATTATTATAGAGAGAGAGAGGTAATGAGGGATGGAATGTGAAAGCGAGGGGTAACTCCTTTGGGCTCTTTTTTTATTAAAAAAGAGCCCGTTGGGACCGGAATCACCTCGTTCGAACTAGTACTTGTGGGTAGGTAATCGGGTTTCGGGGAACCGATTTCTCCATCTGAATAAAAGAAAAAAAGAAAAAAAAATTGTAATTTTGTTTTGTGTCCTGTTAAACACTAGAATCACTTAAAGAGTCAAATTAGGTGAATTGTCCCCTTCCAATTCAAGATCCGATACTGCATTTTAAAAACCGTTCTTATTGGTGAAAAATGGGTCATTTAGATTGGGTCTGAATCCAAACAATAGACCTCACAAGTCGCTTCCGGGTCTACTTGATTGAGAGCAGACATGGGTCAGGGCCATATTCGCTTCCAACCTTAAGCTTGTTGGGTTGAGGTCGACCTGACCAAGTATTTATATGCGTAAGATACATAAAAATAAAGCGACTATGCAACACTTATGGGTGAAATGAATAGTATTTTCGCCAGCAGGTTTAACACCGTTCGATTTTTTTGGACGGTGTGCATAAATCGACTGCATCAGACATGTTATATACCACAACGGCTCTACATGAGTTGTTGCGCGGCAAAATACTACTCATTTTCGCCCTATGATGTTTTAAGACTTTTCCACATATAAATATGTAACAACTAAGTATTATAAAATATATAACACAATAAAAAAAGTTTATATAAGAACTAAAACGCAACTAAAAAATTCACTAGAAAAAGTTGTTCCATTTTCGAAAAACCCTTCATCTCGACAGTGAGATACATCAAGTCTTGAAAATAAACGCATCATGTAATGGATTAAAAAAATGGAAAGTCTTCAAAATAGCGCAGCATGTAATGGATTATCTAGACCATCAATTTTCAATATTTTTAAATATTCATAGATTTCCTTGATCTACACTATTGTTGAAGCTTTAAATTTTATAATTAGATATTAAAATAAATTTTCAGGCCATAACAAAGATTTTTTATACTGAAATGATATCGTTCACACTATTTAAAGGTGCGCCTTACTTTGATTGTTTAAGGCCTCAGCTTTCTCCAAATCGGAGCCTAACATAACTTTTTATATTTTTTAATTCTAGACCCATAACTAACCCAACCTGAGACGGCGGGTCGGCTCCAAGTCCAATTTACTAGGACCCTATAAACATCTTTCCTCGTGCAATCTCCTCATGGGTCGGAGTTGGGGCGGAGCGCAACCTACACTAAAAAGGCGTGCTTGTTCATTTGGAGTTTTTTAATCCATTTAAATGCTATGATTTACTTTAATGTTGTCAATTGAAAAAGAAAAATTCAGCTTTTAAATACCTAAATGTGATTTATTCAAGTTTTAAGCAAATTGGACTCTTAAAATACACCGAGGCTATAAATTTTAGAGAGAGAAAAATGTAGAATTTGCCCTCACACTAGCATATATTCTTGGTCCACATTGGTTTAGACATAAGACCCCAGGCCAGGCATAAAGTGAATCTCCATCACCCAGTTGTACCGCACTTTCGTCGTTCGGGGAAAGAATTGGTAGAAATGGGAGAGCAGACTTGTGCTCCTCGGTTTGAGAATGTGAAATGCCCTTCTTCTTTTTTCTATTCTTTCTTTTTTTCTTTTTCTTTTTTTAATTTTATTTTTTAAACCACAATGATTGTCTTCTACACCTTTTCCAGCTGCAATTTACTCCATTCTCTCTTTTTTTATTAGAGAGAAAAGAGATCACATTTTGTCCTATGGTACAATGAAATTTTATTAAAAATCCATCGGATTTGGCCACCAAATTTGTCTATGGTTCAATTAAAATTAGTTTAACCACCAGATTACATCAAATAAAATATAGTACAAAAAAAATATCCAACTTATTTAGTAGGTCTACTTCGGAAAATCTAATTAATTTGACCGGTCAAAATCTGTCAAACATTCATTCTAATTAATTATCAATCAAACCCATTTGTTTTTAGAGATTATATACAATGAGACAATTTACCTTTGATACAAAGGGGTCATATTACTTATAACCATTCGATATGAAATCTGATAGCTTAGGTATATTACATAGTTCGAAAAAATTCTTTTTGAACTTTAAACTTGATCAATGAAATAAATGCAGTTAAAATTAATTGTGACCACTTTGTACCAAACGTACATGATCTCATTATATACTCTCCCTTGTTTTTATAACCAAAATTGGCAACGCGTCCATCGATGGTTTGAGTAGTTAGACTAATGGTCTGAGTTCAACATAAAAAGGAGAGTAAAGGGAGCGATATGGGTTTGAGCAGTGTTCTCTGAATCGGACCACAACTGGCTTGATCGGATTTTAAAAACATTAAAAAAAATATAAACATTACTTTAAAATATGCAACATATCAAAAAAATTATTCACTTTGTTCGACTGGTCGTACCAATCAAAACCGACTCATTATATGAGTCAAAACCTATCCAATACTAATTTTGACCAATTGTTTGCTAAATTTAATTTTTGTTGAAGACCAAACTAAGCAAAACACCAATCTGTAATTTAACCGTTTTAGCCACCGATGCACTCCAGTTTTGATGACCATCTGGCTAAGTTCAAAATGAGAGTTGAAGGGGACAACATGGCCCAATATCCAATGCATAATTATTGCAGCTCACAACCTCATTTGAAAGTGAACAAAAATTGGACTTTCTAGACTGGGATTTTCTCAGAGGTTGTTAACTTTGTCATTTTCCCCTAGGGGTATACTGCCTATTTCTTGACTTGGGGCCTCTCATTCACATCTAGATTTACATTTGCAAGGGGAATCCAAAGTTTTAAAAGTAAGCATGAAGCTGATACCTTCCTTGGAAGGTGCCCCCACTTTTGTTGAAAATGTGCTTCTTTCTCCTTTATGCCTCCCCTCCCTCCTTTGCTAAAGATAAAGTGGTCACTTTAATATATGCGACTTTTTGGACAAGATCCTTCCCTTCCAGGACCGGTATTGCCTCCTCATCTCCTTTCCTGTCAAAATATAGTTTTTTTTTTTTTTCTTGTCAATAAAAAACTATATTTCATGAGTAAGCAGGTGGAAGAGCTTGCTGACTCACCAACGTCCATCTTAAAATCATATACGGTGTAGAAAACGCACAAGGTTTATACGGTGAAGAACGTTTTTCAAAAAAATCATAGTTTAAGTATTAGAAATTTCATTTTTTTTTTCATGTTCATGATCATCTTAACTTAGATCATGAATCCCTAAAATTTTAGATTAAAAATCTATCTCTAAGATGGTTTAAGAGGGGGCCCACATACGTATAGTATGAGTCGGCTTCATTTCCTTTTTGGGTCGAGTTGTATTTTTGGCTGAATGATTACCTCGAACTTTTCTTATTGCTTTGAGCTTCAATTGTACGTTTTGCTCAAAATGTATCCAACGGTTGGATCAAGAACCAAGACAACTTTCCTTTTCTAAAAAGGATTTCAGGTTCGCTCTCACAGTTTAAGGCTCAAACTCACAAAGTCTCTTTTACTTGAAACCAGTCTAGAAAATCTCAAACTCATCAAAAGTATAATTCTAAAGTTTTTGTATTGACGGCTATTTTCTAATGAGTGAGATTTTTATAAGGTGCCACCTTATACTATTCAAGTAAAGCGTGCCTCAAATTTTGTCAAAGGTATTTTTGGTGTTGGAAACCTTGTGATGGCTTGTAAACTTTAATTCTAAATTTCAAAAATACTGCAAATCGAACCGATCTACAAACATCTGAAAATCTTGAAAATAGATGACTTAAATAATTTCTACAAGATGCGCTATTTTTAACATTTGAAATTCTTTTTTTGTTTATATTGAGATGATCATTTAGAAGGTTTTTCAACTTCATAACATGAAGAGAGCATGTGGAGACCAAAATCAAGAGAAATTTGGCTCAAAGAGGGGGACTTTAACACTAAATTTTTTCATATGTCCATCATCGTCAAAAGACAGCATGATAGATTCCTTTTCCTCAAAGACTCCATCGGCAACCAAATTTCAGACCCTAAAGCTATTGAAAGTCATATCATTCCATATTTTGATGAGTTTTTAGTACCTGAGACACAAGAAGCCACTATAGTGGGTCTCACAGCTGCAGATTTCCTTTCAGACAGATGCCTTACAAAGGAAGAATGTGACGCATTAACAAATGACATTTCCCTGTAGGAAATCCAAAAGTGTGTATGAAATATGAAATCATAAAATGCATCGGGACCAGACGGCTTTGGGGTAGAGTTTTACAAGTTCAATTGGGATGTTATCAAGATTGATCTCTTGAGTGCTCTTATTTGGTAAAGAAAAGTTTCTCAAGGCCATAAATTCTACCTCCATATGCCTGATACCCAAGGTCTCCTGCCCCACTACTATGAAGGATTTCATACCAATTGACATTTGTAATGTTTTATACAAAATCATTAGCAAGACATTGGCAGTCTTCAGTTGGACCTCAACAGTACATATAACAGGGTCTCACGGGGGTTCATATTCAACAAACTACATGCGATGGGGTTTCCAGACGTTTTTATAGTTTGCGTTCAGCATTGCATCACTACCCCCATCTTTCTCCATCCTGTATAATGGATTCTATTAGGCTATTTCAAGGGTAAGAGATGCCTTAGACAAGGTGACCATCTATCCCCATACCTCTTTCTCCTTATCATGAACTATCTCAATAGAATGATCGATGCCACTACTGCTAACAAAATTACTCCCTCCGCATCGGGGTCCAACTATGTGGTCACTCATGTTCTTTATGCAGACGATGCCCTCATCTTTAACGAGGCTTCAGCCTCAGTAGCAAGGACCAGTAGGCATATCATTGAAGATTTTGTGGGGTAACAAGTCAAAAGCTCAATTGCCACAAGAGCAAGGTCATGTTCTTTGGACTTAATAGCAGTCTGAGAGCACAAGTACTTCAAAAACTTCAGTTTGGTTTAGGGGACCTTCCGGCCAGATACCTAGGACTTCCCCTCTTTCATGGCCCCTTGAGGTATCTACACTATCATAATCTTAGTGGAAAGACCATTGCTCGGATTGGCTCATGGCATGTATTATCTTTATCCTTTGCAGGGCAACTACAACTCTTAAGATCATTACTCAATGTTTCTTCTATTTACTGATTGCTCTCCTTTTATCTCCCCAGTCGTACTCGCACTATGATTGAAAGACTCCAACGTAACTTT